TAGTCTCTTGATTCAAATCAACACAGCGGTCCAGTGGAACTCCATGAACTAGTTCCATGGTGATCACACGACGACCCGACAACTCATCAAAAACCTCAGGGACAACAAATACTGGATCATCTTTAAGCAAATTCCTGTGAGAGTCAAGATAATTAATCAATGTGTAAAGATTTTTGTCATATATTTTTAAACAGAGCAGTACAGATCTATGAGATATGAGCCTTTTACTGGCATTTATACTACTGTTGAAAAGTTTGGGGTTACTACAATATTTTTAAAAGAAATGAATGCTTTTATTCAGCAAGAACACTTAGAATTGTTTAAAAATGATGGTAAAGACATTTATAATGTTACAAAAGATTCCTATTTGCTGTTATACAGTATGTTATATAAATATATGCTGCTCTTTTTGAACTTTCAATTCATCAAAGAATCCTGAAAAAAACAGCACAACTGTTTTCAACACTGATAATACAAAATGTATCTTGAGCAGAAAAGCAGCATATTAGAATGATTTCTGAAGGATCATGTGACACTGAAGACTGAATTAATAATGCTGAAAATTCAGCTTTGCCATCACAATAATAAAGTACATTTAAAAAAAAAAAAATAATTCAAATAGAAAACAGCTCTTTTTGAATATATATACATCGAATAAATGTCTTGGTGAACATACTTTGTTTTAAAACAACATTAGTGACCCCATACTTCTAAACATTAGTGTAGTTACAAATGAATTTAATTGTGGTTCATTTAAACACAATCCAAACATGTATTATTACTGAGAATACCTGAATCGCTTTGCACACTCCGCCTCTCTCTTGTAGTCACACTCCCATGCCAGCTCCCTCTGAAGTACCTCAAGACTACTGTCAGCAAATAGACCTGGTAAAATAAATCACCAGCTACTGACATCCCACACAATGTGACTCAATATGGATCCTTCTGAAATGTGTGCTTTTTGAACTCGATGTGAAATGAAAGCCTTTGCCAGTGCTCACCATCAGGCAGCACAACACTCATCTTCAGAACAGACATGAGATTGTTGATGTCACTACGAATGCTCTCAGCGACACCAGGGTACTATATGAGAGACAATTAAAAACAAAATGAATGAATGATGAATCGTTACACATATAACATCAACATATGCTGCAAAACCTCAGATTACTGAAAACAGATGATGAAAATTTCAGTCTAATACCTGTATCTTCATAGCAATTTCCCTCCCATCAGGCAAAACTCCATGATGCACTTGACCAATGGAGGCAGCAGCAAAGGGTTTTTCCTCAAATGATGAGAGTTTCTCCTTCCATCCAGACCCTAAATCCTCCTCAAGCACTTTCTACACATGCGGTTTCAACACAGACAGTGTGGTGAGATATCACAAAGGGAATTTAACAACATCTGATAAATGTCAGTCGGAAAGAACTATTAGGGGGCTTGAAGCACCACTAACAATTGTTATCACTGTCGCGGTTACTCAGTAGCTCAATAAATCAGCTGCTTAAAGCGCACTGACACTCCCTTGTGGCTGGAAGGCAAAAAAGCCTAAAAAAATCTATAAAAAACTGTTGTTATTGTTAAATTCATTTTAAACCTCTTAAATCATTTTTTAAATCATTTTCAAAGTTTTTAAATTCCTTGTTTTATTGTTGTGATTATTATTTTTTATTATTATTTTCTTTTCTTTTATGTAAAGCACTTTGAATTACCATTGTGTATGAAATGTGCTATATAAATAAACTTGCCTTGCCTTAACTACAACTAAAACTAGCCTACTAAAAAAAAGTTTTGTTCATTTTAAAAAAGCATTAAAAAAATTAAAACTAAAAAATATCTTTGTAATTAACTGAGCTAAGATGAAGTACTAAAATTAATTAATAAAAAAAATAAACCTAAATAGAAATATGAAATAATATATATATATATATATATATATATATATACAGTGGTGTGAAAAAGTGTGTATATATATATATAAATGACAAGCATACTGTATATCAATGACTAAAACAAACAAATAAAAATGAAAACTAATTCAAAATATCAATAAATACTAAAATAATATATAACTAATACTATAATACTATAATAATACAGCTATGAACATTTCTTTTTTTTAGGCTGGTGTTGGAGGTAACGCATTACAAGTAACGTCAGTTACGTAATCAGACTACTTTTTTCAAGTAACTATTAAAGCAACGCATTACTATTCAATTTACAATGCGATATCCGAGTTACATTTTCAAAGTTAAGTTAAGTTACTTTATTTTCCCATTTATTCACTCACACACCTCCTGTCACTGTGTTTGATTGGGAGTGAGGTGCAGACGCACTTTCTTCAGCCTGAGGCTTATTAATTTCACTTTTGGTGCGAAGGGGCCTTTACAGTTGGCAAAAATGTAACTTTTGTTTTTTTTTTGTAATTTAAAAAAAAAGCAAGCCCATCTCAGGTGACAAAAAGTAAGGCAAAAGTAACGTAATGCATCACTTTCCATAAAAGTAACAATTAGTTACTTTTTTATGGAGTAACTCAAAATTGTAATGCATTACTGTTAAAAATAACACTAGTCTTAACAGAATTTTTTGATGAATATTGAAACTGCTTGTTAGTAAAAAAGGAAATTTCCAGCAAGATATCAAGGCAATTTTTAATAGTTAGGTTAATGTTCTACAAGATCAAAGAAAAACACAGTAAACGTAACTTACATGCATTTGCCAGGCTGGCATGAAGTCTGCACTCTGTCGAACCCTCTCAAATATTTTCTGCAGTTGTGGGTTAATGAAGGTATTATCTAATGAGGGCATACAAAAATTAGATAAATCAAATGAGAATATTTTCCTACTCATCACAAAATAAAGCATCTAACTCCATTTGTGCATTTGAAAAGCTCTAAATATTTTGTGTTGAGCATCAAAAGACAGAAAACATCAGAAAGGATTTCAAGCTCTTAACTTCAAGCTGGATCTCTTGAAAAGGGAATATTTAGCGTCATCATTGAAATGAACAAATGGAGGCACTTGGCGCCAAAGTATTCAAAATAAAATCAAACTGTGTACCCTGAATGCTTAGCATCTGTCCAATCTTGAGGGCCGCTCCTCTAACTTTACACAGTGTGTTCACTATTCTCTCTGCATTGGCCTCTGACAGGAAGGGAGAGTCTAAAAGAGACCCCATATCTGAAAGAGAAAGACACCAGAAATTTGACTAATTTGCCCAATAACCCCAATAATAGGGTGACCATACGTGCCATTTTCCCAGGACGCGTCCTGGGAAAATGGCACGTATGGTCACCCTACCCAATAACAATTTTAAAAATATGACAAGGGGTGTCAAGCCACATTCAAGCAAGTTAGCACATATTGCCTGAGCGTTTTCCTCCAAAAGACTGTTTCGCCACCTCAGCAATGGCACCAATGCCAAGGCCAACAGCTAATCCTACAAAATGAAGCAGCAGCATTGTTATGGTTAGGACAATTAATGGATTATTAAGGTGCGGTCACATAAGCTTCATATTATATTATATACATATATAGTATATTACAAACAGTCTGCAGTGCAAATGACAATTAATATAAAACTGAGAAATCACTGACCTCCAAAATTAGCTAGTCGACTAATCCGTGTAGCTGGTACCTTCCGTTCTCTGGCTCGCTCACAAAGCTGCAAAGTATCAAAACCATACTGCTTATTAAAGTCTAAAAGTATTTATTTAAACAACATTTATTTCATAAATAAGCAGCGCATGCAGGAAAAGAAAACTGTAAATAGATACTTTTACAGACTAAACAATATACTTCGGATTAAAAGACAAATACATTCCAAAATGCCATCAGAGGAAAAGTATTATTTTAGTATTATTCATATACTTATATAGTTATTAATTAATGTCTCATTTTTAATAAATCTGTTTAGTAAATGTGCTTTTGTAATTTGTTTTTCTTATATTACTATTTAGGTTGAATGTATTTTTGATTAAGTTTTTATTAAGTTTCAATTTTTCGTTTTTATTTATTTTCAATTAGTAATTGCTTACTTTTGGAAAAACTTATTTCAATTAGTTGTCAAGGCAACATTTCTCATTTTTATTTTGCATCTAATATTTATTTTATTTCAATAAACAAACATAGTTTAACAGTTAAATAGTATAGTTTTGTTAACAATAATACATTTCCAACATATTTCTGGAGTTAAAATTTCAGAAACATAAGCCAATTAATGTCCATGTACATTGAAATGCAATGTTATGAGTGTATCTTCAAATATTACAATTATTTGATTATTTATGCATGACTGATTTTTGCCACACAAAAAAAAAAATCATCCCATTTGTCCTCACCTTTTGTCTTACAGGCCTGGCAATATTCTGTTTTGCTTCCCTTGCCTTTTTAATGTCTTCAGGGCTTAACCTGGCCACCACAGAATCATGGACAAACCTAATATGATGATGAGACACTGATACATGCAGAAATCGAGTGTTTTGACCAGGCCAGCCGGTTCCTTTGACCGTGCCAGTAGGTGCACCAACAGGTATCTCTGACACTTCCTCCCTTCCATCTCTGCTGGAAATGTCTGGTGGCATTTCAGAGCCGACTGCCCACTTTGCTGCTTCATCCGGGTCCATCTCCTCCCACTTCTCAATGTCAGGGAAATCCTCAGTCTTGGGCGTCTAAAAAAATTTTCATTTAAAATAATACATAATATTCATATAATTTCTCTTCTTGTGTTCATGCATATCTCTCATATCTCTCTAAGTGTTCACTTACCACGCCTGCTCCCATTACGCCCTCAACCGCCTCCTGTGCAGCTTTGACCCCTGCACCAAAGGTCGAGTTGCAGGCCATCAGTCTAAGCTGTTCACCCTGAATGGTGGCAAAGGCAGCACCCACCTTGCCGGCACCCCTCAACACCTGGAGTACTTCTGACAACAACACTGAAAATAACAGGGACAGATGTCAGTGCCCTAAACCTTCAAACTTAATTTCATTACTGAAATTCAGAGCAGGCATCTCAAGGAGCCGACTGTCCACTTTGCTGCTTCATCCGGGTCCATCTCCTCCCACTTCTCAATGTCAGGGAAATCCTCAGTCTTGGGCGCCTAAAAAAATTTTCATTTAAAATAATACATAATATTCATATAATTTATCTTCTTGTGTTCATGCATATCTCTCATATCTCTCTAAGTGTTCACTTACCACGCCTGCTCCCATTACGCCCTCAACCGCCTCCTGTGCAGCTTTGACCCCTGCACCAAAGGTCGAGTTGCAGGCCATCAGTCTAAGCTGTTCACCCTGAATGGTGGCAAAGGCAGCACCCACCTTGCCGGCACCCCTCAACACCTGGAGTACTTCTGACAACAACACTGAAAATAACAGGGACAGATGTCAGTGCCCTAAACCTTCAAACTTAATTTCATTACTGAAATTCAGAGCAGGCATCTCAAGCAGTGTTATTTTAGTATTATGTATATACTATTATATATTTTTTATTTATATTTTGAAATAGCTTATATATAGATAGATTTTAGTGCTTCAACTTAAACCTATTTCAATCAGCATTTCCAATACCAAATTTACACTGCAAAGATGGCACAGAAGCACTTTTGAAGTAGCATTTAGGTGTCTTTACACAAACTGTTTACAAATACAACTGTAAGCTTTGATACTAGGGGCTGAGGTGGGTCAGAGAAGGCTTAAATTAGTCTGGCTTTTAATGGCGGCATTATGGCAGCCACAGAGCAGCCTTGACTCAGCTGTGTAAAGATGCCTTAATTTTCCTATGGTTGTATTTCTATTTTTTTTTTAATGTTTGTAATACTTTTAAGCTGTCTTTACACAGCCGAGTTAAGGCTGCTCTGTGCCTGCTCGAAATTCAGTGTAAAGGTGCAATGCTTTATAAAAGCCAGACTACATTATGCTTGCTCGGACCCACCGCAGACCCTAGTATCAAAGTATACAGTTGTACTTGTTGTGTAAATGCATTTATGCCACCTCAGAGCAGCATTACACAGTCTGTGTAAAAACACCTAAATGCCACTTCAGAAGCGCATCTGTGCCACCTTTGCAGTGAAAATCTGGCATTAATTAACGATAATAACCCTGGACTAGAGTAATTATATAATATTAAAAATTATAATTTCTCTTTGCTTGTCATTGTGATGGACATGCATTTTTTATCCCAAGTCCCAATTTATTGACAAGGGCATTAATAATGCTATTTAATAGTACAGTATTAAAATGTATCCAATCGTGACATGTACATTATTGTAAACATGTGCAAGTTAAGATGGCATCAACACATGTATGCATTTTTACCCCAGTGTACTGTAGTGTTGTTTTCAACTTGTCTTCTTAAATGAGCACAGCAGTGTAGTTACAGTAATAATAGCACATGTATGCATTTTTACCCCAGTGTACTGTAGTGTTGTTTTCAACTTGTCTTATTAAATGAGCACAGCAGTGTAGTTACAGTAATAATACTTACTCGTGTTGAGAGATTAGATTCTTCTCAGCGTCTATGCGAAGTGTCCTTTCCACTCCACACACCTCTGTCTGTTTTGCAACCACTACCGGAGACGGAAAGCATCCGCTAATTGATAACCGACATAGCCAACCAAATGTGCAAATATCTAAAAGGGGTTGGTTTTAAGAGCTGTGTCTGCTGTCAACCAATCACGAGCGGAAAGCAAACGCGTTCATGCATTTTTTTCTGGGCCAATAGGATTTTATACGGGGCGTACCCAATATGGCTCAGTAGCCAATGAACAGATGGAAGATAACGCCGTCTACTGGCCAGTGTGTGAAGTGCAGTTACAAATGACGCTCATTTCTTTTGAGTGAAGCTCAGAGCTAAGTTATCAGGGAAAAAAACATTAATTTAAACATTTAACGTTCCATTTAAGTTTAGAATAAGTTTAAGTTTTATAATAAATCAGTGATTATAAATGTTCACCATTCAAATCTATCCATCCATAGGCTATATTATACTTCTAATGAACATGTGGGCTATCTTGACAGAAGGAATATAACTAGCCTACTTATTATTATGTTTGTGATCCTGTCAAATATTTAGGAAACCCTTTAAAAATTCAGGCAAAATGAAGCTTTGTTCAAGGTTGATAAAGGCCATGATTTTACTTTCCCTCTTCACAGGTCACTCTTCATCTATTACTGTTTCCCAAAAAAGAAAAGAAATTATAATAATAAGTGGGGTTTGTTCTGTAGTATTTGTAGTTGTGTGTAATAAAAGACTAATTAACAAGTACAAAATATGTGATGTTCCACTGTGGATTAAATCTTAATGACAGCATCTGTAAGTTTGCACAAACAACATTTAACGTTCCATTTAAGTTTAGAATAAGTTTAAGTTTAGAATAAATCAGTGATTATAAATGTTCACCATTCAAATCTATCCATCCATAGGCTATATTATACTTCTAATGAACGTGGGCTATCTTGCCAGAAGGAATATAACTAGCCTACTTATTATTATGTTTGTGATCCTGTCAAATATTTAGGAAACCCTTTAAAAATTCAGGCAAAATGAAGCTTTGTTCAAGGTTGATAAAGGCCATGATTTTACTTTCCCTCTTCACAGGTCACTCTTCATCTATTACTGTTTCCCAAAACAACAGAAAAGAAATTATAATAATAAGTGGGGTTTGTTCTGTAGTATTTGTAGTTGTGTGTAATAAAAGACTAATTAACAAGTACAAAATATGTGACGTTCCACTGTGGATTAAATCTTAATGACAGCATCTGTAAGTTTGCACAAACTGCATTTGTTTTCCATATATTAAATTGTCTGGAATGCACTCTCACTTATTTGCATCCCTTGCACTATTTATCAATTATTTACAGTTCACATAACCTTAAATGAAAGCTTACAAAATGGTTTATTCTACTACACTTCTTAACTGGGCTGTATTTGTCAACATTTCCATTACTTTGCCTTCTGTGTCTAAACAGCCCTCTCTCACTATAGCCTACATTAGAGGCATATTATATGATTGCTGAATGTGTTATCTTGTTATCATTTTACCAATCTCAGTCCTAAAGAGATGTTTAGTAGCTCCAATATTACTCTGCTCTTGCATAATCATCATGTCCAGGCATGCTTGTTTTGCCTGTGATATGGCAACACATTAGGACAATTAGGAAACCGTAAGGAACAGTTTCTACTTCAAATCTGTTACTAAACATAAAAACACCCACTACCTCTGCACTGTTCAGTTTTAATGCAGTCCTCATAATGTAGCTAAACAAAGAACTGTACATATACCCATACACTGATCATACATATACTCAATTGAATATTTTGGAATATGATTTGGGCCTACCCATTTAGGTTACATACAAGCACAATTAATTAGACAAATTAATAATTTAAATAACTAAATATTCACTGTTAAAAGAGTTTTTTTTTCTTTCAAATAATAATAATGAATTTTATATAACTGCAATAATATTATTAAAAATGATTCCATAAATAAAATGACGGTAGTGCATATGACTTTTTCATACTTTCATAGTTTACATATGCATTTCTTCTGAATTATCTTTTATTTTCAAGATTTCCATTACGATTCCATTGTTCAGTTATTTCTGAATTTTTCCTCACAATATCACACATCAGTTTATTCATCATCAGTAGAAATGTGTAACAGAAATTGTGCTGTAATTTCCATGTGCATCTTTAAATCTCTTTTCCCGGTCTGTGAATCACTAGACATCATAATCCTACTGTAAATATTAGATAAAGATTAGATACTTGGGTGCAACATCTGAAATCACAGTGTGTCCTTGTCATGTTGTGCTCAGAGTCAGTATACAGTACAAAAAGTACCTAAACAGACTCTACAATTATCTTTTCTGCTCAGACTTGACTTTTATGTGAAATGTAGTAAAAGTGAAAGATGTTGCTGCTGGTCATTATGATGAGGTAGAATACTTTTCCTCTTTGTGGGTATAGAGATAGAGGGGGAGCCTAAACATCCATATATGGGCATGCCATCAACTTTCTCTCCCCATTGGCTACAAGCGTTTTGCAGCTGTTTGTCAACAAAATGGCCTTCCCCAATTGCTTTTCGAATTCGAGGACCTACTAACTATGGTGAAATAGTATTGAAACTCTGGTTGAACAATATAGAGACGATTTTTTTAAAACACAGTATTTACCATCATATTACTGTGTTCACAATAGGCATATATCGTTGACAAAGCCAGATCAATACTGGAATTTTTTTGCTCCATTCTCGAGTTAGCTTACAAATGCTAACAGTCTACCTGCAAACCCTTATCGACCTCCGCTTTCATCTCTTAATTGTTTTTAAAACCACACATAGAGATTTGAAGGATTTTTGTCTTAAATTCAACAATATAGCCACTTTTTGTAACAAAAATAAAACTGTCGGAACGAAATCAGCGGAGATTTGGTTTCAGAAGAAGGTAAGCAGAGAAATAATTCTAGCAGAGCTGCTACTGTTTTAGCTTGGCTTATTATTTATTGTTGTTGGTGACATCAAGGGGAAATGTTACAAAACGTTTAATACAATAAAAAATATAAACGTTTGATACTAAAGAGTTACTGAACTTGTACTGTGTAATACAGAAATAAGCCAAGTTAGGAAAATATAATACGAAAATAAGCAAGCTGAGTTTTCCACTTCATGAAGACAGCTTAAGCTGACCAAGCTAAACATATGCTAATTACACACTGGCGCAGATATATAACAATGTCAATAAAATACATTCATTTTAATACAGGATATAGTAGTGTTAGTTATATTGCTATCGATTATTTGGGTTGACATGATTGCTAATTAAAACTGAAGCAGAGATGTTCGCTCGCTTTTTAGATGTTATAACGCTGGTTAACAGTTTGCAATAGCCGGTTAGCAGATCATCTTTTAACTGCCTCAAGTCAAATGATCCCATACGCTTTGTCTTTATTTCGACTCTTTATTGTTTTGAGTTGTGTTAATTGAAAGTAAAGCACTGAAGGTGGCAAGCGATTACGTTAAAATAAGCCATAGATTAACTTGATGAGTAGGCCTGGTTAACAGGAGGACAGCTGCAATAAATTACAACATAATTCACTTATCATTTATTATGACCGTAGAATTACATATTAAATCAGTTATATTATCTTCATGTTTTGACTGAAATATTTGCGAGGGTGATCATTAGCAATGGGAATATTTGCTGCTTTTATTTTGTTGTTTGCTCTTGGTGAACGTTTGGTATGGGTTGATTCTGTGGTTTAATACTGTCGTCTTCTAGAACTTTATTAAGAGCACTGTGTGGTCATACAACATTTAAACGGATACAAACGATTTCACACAGTTATGTATAATTGGCTTTCAGAAAATAAGGTGCAAAAAGTATGTCCTGTGTTGTTCAGTTCTGAGTGAATCATCTCGTGGACTGACTTGTTTAACAAGTCTTTTAACATTTTGTTTGTCCTGATTATCTGTAAGCTTACTGGAGTCATCAAATCTCTGTCCTTTGTGTCCAAATAATGAGAGAATATTTTAAAGCAGTTCTCAATAGTATTATTTTCCTGATGATAACACACACACACACACACACACACACACACATATATATGTGTATGTATATGTATGTATATGTATGTAATGTGTATATATGTATATATATGTGTGTGTGTTATCATCAGGAAAATAATGCTATTGAGAACTGCTTTAAAATATTCTCTCATTATTGTAATAAATATATATATATATATATATATATATATATGCTCACACGCATACCAGTAGTATGGAATAGTGTAGTAGTGTTTACTCATTTACTATATATTATAATTTAATGATAATTTATAATTTTATAATACTATAATTGACTAATTTTCTATATACTAGGTCTATATATTATTGTACCAATGATATCAGATCAACTTTCATAGAATGCATGTAGTGTCATCTTTCAAATGCAGTATAAAAATATTTTTAATGTGTTGCAGGCTAAAAATAGCAGCCCGAAAGCATTTTAAAAGGCTATAGGCCTACCCATTAGTGTTGTGATTGGTTTTACAAGGTCTTTCAAAATATTACATACAGTGGGGTTAAAAACAAGACTTTTCATACTCCAGTTCAGATGGGCACTTGGGCAGTATTTTATTTAAATGTATTTCAATTACATATTTAATTACTTTTGTGTATGTTGTAATTTGTATTTTGCTGGACAAGAAAAAAAATCAAAACAAAATCAAACATAATTTGTATTTAAATACGTTGAGAATTTTGAAATACTTAAGTAGGTCATTATATTCTCAGAAAATACAATATTTTTCTTCACCTGTGTTAATAGTACTGCCAACTATAGCCTATCACAGTTTTTCAAAAGGGTCTGGCTGCAGCCTTGCGCTCGCACTCTCAGACGTGCATTCTCAGACACTTGCACTTCCGCTAGCGACGTCACTTGCAGTCTTTATTTTTTTTATTTTGTTCTATTTATTTATTCTTTTTGTTTGAATCTCTCAACATTTTACAACAGTAGCCAGGTGGTGAATAAATAAATAAAATAAATAATCATGAAATCACCACCACAGCGTCTTGTCTCCATTGGCAACACACACGATTAAGGCTGCAGCCAGACCCTTCTCCAGTTTTTGGCTAGATGCAAGTGAATCACATGACGTCCTGTTGGATCCATAGGTGGAGTCTTAAAGGGTTAGCTCACTCAAAAATAAAAATTCTGTTGTTAATTACTCACCCTCGTGTCGTTCCACTCCTGTAAGACCTTTGTTCATCTTCGGAACATAAATGAAGATATTTTTGATGAAATCTGAGAGTTTTCTGTCCCTTTACAGTCAGCCATGCAACTTACTCATTCAAGGTCCAGAACGGTAGGAAAGACATCAAGTAAACCATGCAATCCAATTTTATGAAACGATGTGAGTGCTTTGTTTGTGCAAAAAAAACAACATAATTTAACACTTTATTTATGAAAATATTATCCAAACACATGCGTCGTGGTACTCTATTGAACACTCACTCATGTGCGTTGTGTTGACGCGCGAGTCTTTTATCGCATGAACACAACACAAATGGGTTGTGATGCTCTCATGAACACACAATACAGATCAATATTTTCATAAAGTTGTAAATTATATCTTTTTGTGCAAACAGTACTCGCATCGCTTGATAAAATTTAGCTTAAACCACTGGAGTTACATGGATTACTTTAATGATGTCTTTTCTACCGTTCTGGGCTTTGAATGTGTAAGTTGCGTTACTGCCTATGGAGGGACAGAAAGCTCTCAGATTTCATGAAAAAGATCATCATTTGTGTTCGGAAGAAGAAAGAAGGTCTTACAGGTGTGAAACGACATGAGGTTGAGCAATTAATGACAGAATACCCATTTTTGGGTGAACTATCCCTTTAATTCGGCCATGGTTCCAGTTCCAACTGAAAAAAAACAAAAAACATTGAAAGCAGTTGTTTTGGTACTCAGTGCAAACTGGCTAAGGCCCAATCCCAATTCTACCCCTTAGCCCTTCCCCTTTCTTTTACCACTCCGTTTCGCACGTTCACGTGAAGGGGTAGGGGTGTCTTGATTCTCTTTTGGTTGGAGGGGTAGGGGTAGGGGAAGGGCCAGACAGCCCTTCAAACGAAGATTTTTCAGGACCACACTTCAAACAAAGGGGTATGAATTATCTCAGTGTAAACTGGCTTCAGGGGCAACATGGCTGCTCGAGCGAACAAAAAGACAAATAAATGTAAGCATTTTTTGGCATTAATAAAGATTTTAACGAAAAGTAATCATTTGTTTTATGTTACATTCAATCGTGAGTTCATATTTACGGTCATGTTACTCAAAGAAATGTTTGCAAAAAATCGCTAATATTTGATAACTAACGTCATATCATTATAGACTGCACGATAGTGCCACAACATATTTTCATGTCTGATCAGGGCGATAACCAACGTAGACATTGAGGGGGGCTAGTCCCCCCAATAATTATAAATCGCTAAACCCTCTTCTCAAATATTGCCAATTCGAGAGAGAGAGAGAGAGAGAGAGAGAGAGAGAGAGAGAGAGATGAAAGTTGCGTGTATGCGCGTCTGTGCGTTTCTCTTTTTAGAGTGAGTTTACTTAAAAAAAACAGCGATTTTATCCT